TGGTGTGGCTTTGCTTTCACTGCAAAGTTACCATCTCCCCCTGTTACAGCCGTATACCTGCACGATACTTTTCTTTGTCATCCCATTGCTCGTTTTCCCCCCCAGTGTCTTTTATCTTGTGAGTGAAGTTTGAACAGTACGCAGAAAGTTAAATGCCTGGAGTCTTTTAAATATAAGTAACACGCACCCAGTAATAAGCTGTCGGTTGTTTTTTTGCTGCCTGCAAAGAAACATAAACACAGCGCTCATTTCTGGCAGGTTTTTACTGTCAGAGTTTCTCCTATTATATTTATCTTACAATTTGCCAGGGGGTGAAGTTATTAAGTTTTAGCAGCAGCCATCGATCAAGTTCACAAGTTAACACGATAAAGGCTCTGTGCCGCTCCGATCCGGGAAAATGATGATCCTCACTCGGTAATTAACTAAATGAGAAAGTTAAATCTTACTTGAGAGCTGGGAGAGATGAAAGAGAGGTGTTTGTCAGTTTCTCAGTGGAAATTAGAAGCAGTTTTCTGCAATTCCCTAAGCTGCTGCTCTGTCATATTTTACATAAGCACTGGGAAAACGTCTTGTAATTAGTGCTGTCATGGAGGATTTTTTTTGCTGAAGGATGTTGGAATAATTCATTAGATTATCAAGAAAGGCTTGTGTCCTGAAATGATTAGCACAGTGAAATTTAAACCATTAACGATAACAAGTTTAGAGCTTGCTGCAGTGCAGAGGCACCCGGGGTATGTCTGTGCCTATTTCAATCATTTCTTATAATTAAACATTATGTCCTCTTTTTTCCTCCCCTTCACTAAGACCCATCCAAAATTCCTGTTAAGGTGGCTCTATCTAGATCAGCGACTTAACCGTGGCCAGCAACACAAGCAGCTGGGGGGGGGATACTGCAGCTGCCAATGAACAGTAGGAGCCACCTGTCCAGGTCGGAGCTGCAGTCCCTGTATGGAGGAAGGGGGGAAAGCCCAGCATGGACCCTTGGTACTGAGTTGTCCAAGGAAGGTCCCTTCATTTGGTCTGGAGAGATGCTCAGTGCTGACCTCATCTCTTGGTCATGTTGGAACTCCAGCTTGAGGACATCTGGAAGGTTGAGAAGGTCCCAAACCTTGCTGGGATCATTTAAGCCGCACATGATATTCTGTCTTTCTCTTTTTCTTAAAAGAGTTGTCTTCTTACATCAAGAAATGTGTAAACTAAATTCACCCATGCTGTGGAAAGTGCCTTAACAAAGTCCTCTGCAATGATTAGAAGATGTTATGAGGACTTTTTTAATTAAAAAAAATTGATTATTACTAGGTTTTGACCGCTGCTACAGGTTCTGATGGTTACTGTGGGCTGTGAAATATTGTGCCTGTAACACCATCAGGGAACTGTGCTGATCCTTACTGTTGTGCTTTAGAAGGTTTCTTAGTCCCCTCTACTGATCAAAACCAAAAATAACTTTGGTTGTCATATGTGGGTTACAGCTGTAATATAGCATGGCCATTGTGTCTACTATGCAGAGTAGGAGATTTATCTAGGCTTTATTTATCTTGTTGAAATATGGCACCTTCCTGTAGTTGCAAACCATTAGTTAGATTGAATTCCTTTCATATACTAGCCCTATTGTACTTTGCAGGGCATACAAATACGCTTTGTGTGAAATGTAGCCATTTGGAGAAAGGCTCATGTAATTATGGGCTGCAGTGGAGCACGGTACGTAGATCCTTGAGGTAGTACCAACCCGAGGCAGCCAGTCCTCTGGGTTTCCCAGCACAGGCCGGGCACACCAGTGCAGAACATCTTGGTGGCTCTTGCAGAGGAGTTGCCACTGGGGAAGCTGGAGCTAGCTGAGGCACAGTGGAGCCTGCACCTTCGTTGTACGCAGCTTTCGCCTGTGATGATGGGCTACCACTGCTTATTCTTGGCCACTTCGGCAAGTGAAGCTTATAAAAAGCATAAGCACTAACGTGGCACTTGGATGCCTGTTTAACGTAGCAGTGTGTTCTGCTTGTAGGTTGGTGCTCACTTCTTCAGGTTAGGTCTGCTGTTGTGCCTGGAAAAGGAACCATTGAAGAAGAGACCATTGTGTGCTGCAGGAAATAGAATCTGATCTGTCATGAACTGCAGCTGAACAGAATGGTTGAGTCATCAGGGTTTATTAGAAAGCTAAATGAATTCTCTTGCTGCTTGTAACCGGTACCTCCCCAGTGTTTTAATGATACAGATGCTTGATGTCATTGTTGTGTCGTTGCTTTTTTTAATAACAGACCTTTTTCACTGAGCTCCTCAGTGGATTTTCAGGAATCTTCAAATTGAAATTTTGGAATCTTCTTCTTACCCTTGGCTGCAGATGGACAGGGCGATCACAGGATTTTGAATCCTGCAGAGCTGGGGTATTCCTGGTCTGCACAGTCTTTCTGGTATGGTGACCTTGGGTGTGCTTTTTTCGATGGGAGACTTGAGCAGGCAGGGACACTGATGATGTCTCAGGTTTATATGGTCAGAATGTGGCTGAAGTATGACACACACACCTAAAAACACGTTGTACTCCTGTCTGCTAATTCAGACATACAAACACATAGAATGCTTTTCTTAGCAGATCCACAATGTAAGTGCAGAGTTTGTCTTCAAGTTACAAGTGTTGGTCAGTGGGCTTTTTAATTTGTTCTTTCCTACCTCAGAGGCTGTATTTACTTGGGACCCAAGCAAGGTGAGTTGCTTTGGCCCACCGAAGCCATCTGATTTTAGGCACACAGGATCTGTTACTTGTTTTTGTGGGCTTTGCAACTTCTATTTGATGTCCCAGGCAGACGTTTTAGAGGTAAGTGGGGGCTGGAGGCTGCTGGAAGCTTGTCAAGGCAGGGGCAGAGCCTGCTGCAGCCCCACGCCAGGAGGAGCAGCCCCTTTTGTCTTTGTACTTCACCTGCCTACTCTGCTGCTCCGTCTTACAATTTCTCAAATTAAAAGCTGGAGACAGCCTGTTGTGGGATGAAGTTCCCAACAAACAAACAGGAGAAATTAACCACATCAGGCTTGTAGAACACAACAGCTCTCTGCTGTCTAAATCCAGCACTTTTACGGGGGTGTCTGTTTTGCAGGCAGCTTAACTGCAGCAGAAATGACCGGAGTCCCCCAAGACCAATGTTCAGCGCAGTCCATTGGTAATGATTTTTTGCCTGGCTGTTGCCAGCTGCGGACTTTGCTAGGAAAACTTCAGTCTTTCACACCAAGGATGTCATTCCCACAGCCCCTTTTATAGAGGTTTCTCTATATAAAAAGATGTCCCAAGAGAATGTCTTCCTGCTGCCCAATACTGGGTTTGTTATTCACTTGCAGTGCAGTCCGTGGGATGACCGAATGAAATAGGGTCAATCAGTCATAGCCCTTGTCTTACACAGTCCTACTGAACACACACACAGCTCTGTGGGGAGAAGAGGGAGGTTGAAAACCCTGAGCTGCAGAGTTCAGTACGGGTGGTGTGTACTCCATGTTCTGAGACTTGACACTGAAGTAGTAGAAATTGCTTGCTACAAATGGCGGCTAATTACCACCTTTTTCCATCTGAAGAAAATCTGTCCAGCTCTGCTGGAGAGGCTGAAATTTAGGTGGCTTTGTGCTATAAAATGAGATGGAAGCGGTGAATAGTTAGGAATATTTTCAAATGATGGTATTTTTGGTATTTCAGAGAATTGCTGGCAGGGCAGGTGGGTATCAAAGAACAAGAATTCTTTTCTCCAGAGCAGTTAGGAATTTACACGTTCCAAACCCTAACTGGATAATGTTTTTATCTACTCTCTAAACACAGTGTTTCAACACGTGAGAAGAAGTATTGTTTTGTGTTTTGTGTTTTCTTCCAGTAAAATGAGTAAATCCATACATTTTAGTTGTAATTACAGGCAGATTTAGGTACTCATCTTTTCCTTTGAAAGGAATGAAGTCTCATGGTGAGGTTGGTGCCTGGAATTTTATCATACAGCAGAAATACGGCGCCCCTGAATCAATGGTTTATATATTTCACTGTCTGTAATTCGTTTCTAATGATTTGATAATTAATAGTGAACCTCAAATTACATTTTGTAAATGCAAGCGGTGGAGTATTGCTGACTTTTCTTACAGAGCTGCTTGGTGTTACACCACTGAGGTGAAAAAGGGAAAATCATATGTTTTCAGTGGGAATAATCTACAAAAGCAAAACGAGAATTATCCTTGCTTTGGTTAAACGTGTGCCTGTGGTGTGTATTCCTAGACTGGGGATGTACAGAAGTGAGTGTGTGGGGATAATGAATCCTAAAAAGATACAAAAGTCTCAATTTAGCATTTAATGCAAACTGAGCAGTGTAGAAAAAAAAATAATGTTAATGTTTTCTGGACAAAGGATATCCTTACAATGCAAAATGTGCACTTTTCTTCCAGTAAAATCGTTTAGGAAGCAGAAATTACATCTTGCCATCAAGAAGTAAATTGAAATGTCAGTGTTTTGTATTGTCCCTGAAACTCTTCTTTGAGCTGAGGCTTTCTGACAAGATATTAGCAGTGCTTGGAAAACATAAGCTCTTTTATTCTGTGAAGGAAGCATGCAGCAGATATCAGGGTGTGCTTTAGTTGGTTTAACCCTTACAGTATGACTTTATACTTGGAAGAAGTGCTCTTTTTTTTTTGTCCCCTCATTTGTTCTAGGCATTTCCTATGAGTTGTAGTAGCAGTCCATTCTTAGAAAAGTGAAATATAAATGCAGTTTTCTGTTGGTGTATTGAAATAACTGGTAACTGTAGATTAGGAATCCAAATGCATTTTGCTGTCTGCAAGACGTAAATAAAGCTGTGTTTGTATTAAATTGGCACTCATGGTTTCCCTTCCAAGCAGTCCTTTGTGTGCAGCTCAGGCGTGGACCAGGGCCTTGTTCTGCTGGAGTTACAGCTCTGCACTCAGCTGCAAATGGGGTGCACAGTCCTGGCCAACCTCATTTATCAGAGCACCCGATCTTGTATAATTTGTGTTTTTCTTTCCTTTTGCAGACAAAACTTGCCAATGGCACTTCCAGTATGATTGTGCCCAAGCAGAGAAAACTGTCAGCAAGCTATGAGAAGGAGAAGGAGCTCTGCGTCAAGTACTTCGAGCAGTGGTCTGAGTCTGACCAGGTGGAGTTTGTGGAGCACCTCATCTCCCAGATGTGTCACTACCAGCATGGACATATAAACTCTTACCTCAAGCCCATGTTACAGAGGGACTTCATCACTGCACTGCCAGGTACTTCTGCAGGCAGAGGAAGTGTGCTCCTTCCTCTTCCAGAAAACTATTCTCCTTGGCTTCTTGTGCCTCTGGCCTGCCCTGCTGAAGAAGTCTCTTCTAGGGCCATCTAGCAAAATTGTAGCTTTTGAATGAAAAGCTCTATAGGAATACAAAATACAGGAATGTTTTGTTCTGTGTTCCTACCATCACTGAAGGGCTGATCTAACATCAGCATAGTTTGGCCAGGAGTAAATGATAGCTCTTATCTGTATCTTAAGGGGAGTTGTCACAAGCCAGAAGACAGGTAGTTGTGCTTAGAATGTCTGCAATGATTCATTAATAATGTTTTTAAAAAATTAAAACTATTGTTTTCCACTGCTCAGCCAAGGTTTTTCTCTTTTCTTATGTAGATTATTTTGGTGCTAGTAGAATACCTTCCTGAGGCCGTCATTTTGATTATCTGTTTATTGCCCATAGTGAATGGAGGACATGAGAAAAAAGAATGGAAAATGTTCAGTGTATTTTTTGCACCTCTGTTGGACTTTCCTTTCAAGATGTTGTCCCAGATGTTCTCACATGTGGCATTGGGTGTATTTCAGAGAACACACACGTAAAATAGTGTCTTGACCCCATCTTACAGGTGAGAAAGTGAGGCAAAAGGAGATAAGACATGCGAACAATAAGCCATAGAATTTCAGAGCCAGATGGGAATTCCTGTCTGTCGAATTTTTCCAGACTGTTAGATCATACCTCGATAAATAGTCAGTAGGTTAGCAATGCCTTTGTTTCAGGTGAACCTGAGCAAGTCCTACAGCTGTTCCATCTAAATAACCAGCTGAAAAGAGGAATTTCTTGCAAAAATACTTGTTCTGTGGATCCCTTTGGAGAAATGATCAACTTGGACAGTTTGTTCCATCCAGTCATTCGATCATTCTTTGGAGGGGATTTCTTAACCTGAAATTGAAAATGTCGGGTTGGAAAAAAGGTGGAAAAAAATAGGGTTTAACTGTGAATTGTGCAAAGCATAGAGGCAGTGTGAGAGTTTTGCTATGAAGTTAAGTATGCAGTCTCTGGATTTTTAAGCTCATTGTGTCCAGTAATCAAATGGTTGTTGTAGCATTAAAAAAAAATCTTAGTTATGCTAAGTACCTTCTTTATGTTAGTTTTTAGTAGTCCAGTGGCAGTAATCTTGTGTACTTAGAGCAGCATTAACTTGTGAGGCTGTTCTGTTTCAGAAAGACAGAATACTTGGAAAGCACACTGGTTTCCCCACTTCTAAAGTAAAAGCGTATATACAGTTAGCTACACAATTTTTCTGGGTCTTCTTCCAGAAAGCTCCATCAGAGCAAGCAAATACTGCATATTTTCTGTTGTTTAATTTCATCCTACAAGCCTTTTTCTGATCGTTTTGGGCAAATACTAGAAATATTTTCACAGGCATCCAAAATCTGCCTGCCGTGCCATATTTGTTGGTGGTCTTTTCAGAGTTATCTAGGAAGCAGCTCTAGCTTTGAATTTTACTGCCTCCAAGTACAGAACAGACAGGATATTAGGCAGCTAATGTCTGAGAATGTGAGCAGTTGTGGGAACTGTGTGCTTAAATAATATATGTGCATCAATTTGCATATTGGCAAAGTGCAAATGTCCTGGTGAATATGGCTCTACGGGAGAAAATGAATGGCAGGGAATCAGGCTGGCTCAGGCTCTGCAGCCTGGGAGGTGCAGAATGTCCTCAGTGCAGGCAGCTTTCTGGTAAGGGTGATAGGAAGAGGGAACTGCTGAGGAAAGAGTGCTGAACCTACAATGTTGAATTAAGTCAGTTAAAAAAACCAAACAAACCCTAACCTATTTAAGTATTTTGTAGCTTTCTGGAATTCTCAAGTGCTCAGTGTTCCAGTTTCATTTTTATGCCTTCCTTCTCTTTCCTACTCTCCCCCTCAAGTAAATAAAACAATAAAGATTCTCCAAAATCTTCAGGCATCTTATCTCTGTCCTCCTTGCACTGTGCCACAGAATGAACAGAGATGGTTTTAGGTCATGAGCAGGCTTGGCTAATATAGAGAACAATTGACTCAGGTTATTTTCCCATAAATATAAAGGATGGAAAAATGCAGCTTAACTGTGTACTTAACAAACTTTGTTCCATTTCTTTAAAAAACAAGCAAAAAAAACCAAACAAGGTCTTTGCTTAGCATTTGCAAGCTGTTTAACATTTTTTATGAGCAGAGTCATTTTCATAAGGGTTTGGCGTGTGAAATAACTGAAACATTCTTTTAATACTTGATGTGGAGGACCAAAGGGCTAATCGTGTTTCACATTAGTTTAGCAAAAGCTTTTGTGCATGAAGAATTTTTTGAAAGGAAGCAATGCTCCAGTAGATATGTATCTCACATAGTAATACCATTGAGTTTGCTGCCACCCCAAAATAGCTTTGATTCTGTGAAGACAAGGAATAGTGAGGTTTTGGCCTTCCCTTCCCACATGTTAAGTGGAATGGAAAAGATTGTCAGAAAGAATGGCAAAACGTGGCATTTCTACTCACTGGAGAGAGCTCAGGACTGCAGAGTGGGGAAGCAAGGAAACACCTTCAGTTGTCCGCTTCTGTCCTTCAGAATTGGTTCAGGTTCACCAAAATACATAGACATACATACATAGACATAGGTCTATGAATTGCTGTAGTATAAACCTGGATTTACAAACACTTTTCTTTGAGAGTTTCACGTAATGGCTGTGTTTATCTTTTCAGATTAAATACATAATAAAGGTTGCTGATGCTTCGGTTTTGCAGGTTGACATCTAATTTTGCATCTATAAAGATAAGAAATGTCAGCCCTCTTGCTGCATTCTGGTTGTGTCTGGGATCATTCCCGTGCTTTTTCTTCTGAATGAATGGGAACATAAAATGCTGGGCAGAATGTCTCACCCAATGTGCATTATAAATCTCAGATGTTTGATAGGATCGAGAGAAGACGTGCTGAGTTTTCTCATTTTCATGTGTCAGTAGATAATTTTGAGATGTTTCAGTTAACAAAACCAAGTAGAGATTGGGCCTTTTGTTTCTTACGAGCTCCAAAGGAATCAGCTGATTGCTCCCAGTTTGGGTTTGCTGATGTATGGGCATGTGACTTTACAAATGCATTCGCTGTTTTTTCTTTGTCACTGACAGGCAGGGCCTGCTCTTTGAGGCTGTTGTTTCAAAAGCAAGAAAGGACACATATAACCATGTCCTACATGTGAACTAGAGGGTTTCTAGGGTCTCAACCACAACTTTCACAAAGCCTCAGCAATTGGACCTGTGACGAGGGAGGATCCCTTGACACTGTTTCTCACTTATGAATTAAGCAGCCTCCAAGAGAAGGTGTGTTTATGCAACACCTCATTTAAAAGGCATCTTATCTTTCTGATGTCTGGTAGGTGATCAGATCTGAGTGGGAAGGGGCACATTTTTGCTAGACCCATCTGTCTGTTTAAAAGACAGAGCATGGTGTTGTGTGGAGATATTACACTGAGCTGGTAGGTATTACCCAGGCTGTAGAGCCAAAGCCTTGCAAGCATTGCTGCCTTTTTAGCTCAACTGCTTTGCCTTTTACTCCAACCATGTTGAAAGAAGGCCAGTCATGGTATTCACACTGGAAAATATTTGCACATTATACAATTATGGTGCATATTTTTCCTCCACTCGCTTTAATAAATGAAGCTGGCAAACCTGCTTCACTTTCTCCTCAGACAGCCTCTTCTTTCCGTTCCACTTCCCTGTGCATCTGCATATCTTTCCCTCCCCCATGTCTAAAGGTACCACTACCCTTCAGGGCACACATTGGGAATATATATTTTTTTCTTCATTACGTTTAAAAGCTACTGTTTTAGCAAAAACAGCTTTTGAGCCGCTGGAACATGAGAACAGCTGTAGCAGTGAGATGAGAAATGGTCCTAATATAGAGAGATTTTGGGGGCTGCGTCGCTGAGTTGGAAATGCCATCCATAGAATATCCCCCTAGTGCTAAAACCCATTGAAATAGATTGGAATGACTTCTTGGATTCTTTATTATTTTTAATGACTTGTTGTGTTATATCCAAAGGAAGTTGGAGAGCACTGCTCACTCCTGAACTTAGCTGCAGATGCTCTTCTGCGCATTTGGTCCAGCTCTGCATGCAGAAGAGTGGATGGAAAGGAATAGGAGAGAGGGGGTGTATTTGTATGTGTAAGGGAAGTTGTTTTAAACTGCCCTTCTCCCCAGCAAATAATGCCTGTTGTTTTTTTTCCTTCCTCCCCCTGCAGCGCGGGGATTGGATCACATTGCTGAGAACATCCTGTCCTACCTGGATGCCAAATCGCTGTGTGCCGCTGAGCTGGTGTGCAAGGAGTGGTACCGCGTGACGTCGGACGGCATGCTGTGGAAGAAGCTGATCGAGAGGATGGTCAGGACAGACTCACTGTGGAGGGGGTTGTCAGAGAGGAGAGGATGGTGAGGGAGCTGTATCTTTACCTCTTTTGCCCCCATTTAGGACAGTGGGTGCTCTGTGTTTCAAACAGTGTTTGAAGAAGAATACGTAGCATCCTGAAATAGCACACTGGTTCCAAACCTGACAAATGCAAGAGGCCAGATTCAGGGGTTGGGGGCTTAGGGCATCGTTTGGCTGTGCAGACAGCGAGGGGGCTTTTTCCTCACTTTCCTCATCTGATCATGCTCTTATCCCACTGTGACAAGTGGGATATACAGAGTGAGATTTTTACGCCCAGCTGTCATTCGGTTCAAATTAAGAAGCTGTGTACGCCCCAGGGGAGCACTAAACTAGTCAGCAGTTCGGAGCAGAAGAGCTTTTTGGGGGGTGGCAATGGGGCAGCATGTGCTATGTATTAGTTGTTTCCTGATGGGTCTGTTTGTTTTCCTCAGCAGATTTTCACTATTAGATATCTGTTTAATTTTCAAACTGGAAGCTGAGGGTAGGTACCACAGAGAATAGGGGACTTTAGAAATGCAGATAGATTAGTTAATAATCAGCTGGAATAGCCTTACTACAGTGTGGGTCTCACTCAAGTTTGAAGCTGCTCTGTTAACATTTCATTAGAACTTTCCCTCTCAGGGGCTACGTCCTTTAATACATAATTTTCTTTTCCAAGGGTGTCCCTAGGATGTTGGCAGAAAGGAAGCTGGGTATGAATATTTCATAAACAAGATAAAAGTGACAGCTCAGGCATTTTGGTTGCTATTAAAAAGAAAAAGATACAGAATTGCAAACAAAGACTTCTGTTTCACGGTTAATTTTGTTGTACTGCTTGTCTCAGAAAGTAAAGGCAAGTAATTCACAATTAAGAAATGTCCTTTAAAAATAAATACTATGTTGATCTGCTTCCAGTTGTACAGTGCTTGTAAAGAGTATAAAATGAACACAGACGTGGCAGTGGTAACTTTTTCATCCTCTTTTTTCTATGTCATCCCAGATGTCTGTGTAATGGTTCTTAAAAGCCTTTAAGGATGGAGATTCTCTGTGCTTTGCCTGGGCAAGCAGTACCACTGTTTTGCTAACCGTGCTGCCCAGAGTCCCATCCAACCTGGCCCTGAATGCCTCCAGGGATGGGGCATGCACAGCTTCTGTGGGCAGCCAGTTCTGGTGAACATCATCCTCCTATCTACAGCTCAGGATGTTACATTTAGCCTACACAGACACAGAGAACAGTTTCTCTTTCTGCTTTTTGTATCAATCTTTTGCATAGCTGGGAGATGATCGTATTTCCTATACATGGGATGTACTAATGAATGCTCACCCTGTGTCTTCTTGCCCTCTTGTCGTTCTCAATTTGCTTTGAGTAGCCTCACTCCAGTTACTCTTCTTACTCTTCTCCATTCTTGGAGGATGGTGACTTCAGCTGATCATCTTCCTTCTGCTGAGGCATCACCAGAGTTTAATGAGAAGGATTATTTTCTCTGCTTTATGGTGGATGCTCCATTTTAGGCTTTCCAGAAGAACACGAGCTTTTTTTTTTTTTTTTAACAGTGGTTTTATTTTATATATAACTTTTAATTACCCTTTCTGTGGAAGTTCTCCTTACCTGTTGTTCCTCATCTTGAATGCTTATGTTATAAGTAGAGAACTTGGCACTCATCCTTATTGAATTAGATTCTGTGTACTGGTTAGTATTTCTCCATTTTGTCAGATGCATTATGAGTTTAATCTTGTCTTCCAAAGTGCTTGTATCTTCTCTCAGCTTTAGCATCATTGGCCACAAAGTAAATATGCTCCCTATTCCATTCTTTGTCATTAATGAAAATGTCTAATATGACACATCTAGGAGAGACTTCATGCAAGATCCCAGTTGCCTTTCTTTTTGACAGTGCACGGCTGGTAAGCTGTGCTTGCTGGCCATTTGTGTGTTCACCCTTGAGCACTTCCACCACTATACTTTCTAGCTAAGTTATGAAACTGACCTCTGAGAAGAAATTAGGTCTGTGTGACATGATTTATTCTGGATTGATCAGTGTGGCTGTTGCTGGTCAGCTTTTCATCTTCTAGGAACTCATCTAGTCGTGTGCTCTACGATGAGCAGTCTGTGAAGTTCATTTGGACAGTCCACCATTTCCTTGGGTTTGCCTTCTTCCTATTGAAAATCCTGCTTTCTATCTCAAAGGACAGTCACTCAATGTTATTCTGTCAGGGAGCAGCAAGCGTTACCAGATTTAGAGAAGAACAAAACAGAAGCCCAAGATTGGGTACTGTTGTTTCCATCTGAATACTTGATTGAGTTGGCCAGTCATCAGAAACTGCAAACAATAGTTGCTTTTATCCCAATCACGGGAATACCAGGGAAATTCCAAGCAGTCCCTCAGCTGATCTATATGCAACTGACTTTACAAGTAGCAAGACATTGTGTATGGCTAGCAGGGCCTTCTAATAGTTCTTGTAGTAAAGGTGCAAACAACAGACAGGTTTTCGGGCACATAGGCTTGTATTCAGATTGTTCTAGACCTACCCTAAGTCTTCTGTAGTGTGCCGTAGCTGTTCTGCACATCTCCATTTCCACCCTCCCCAAGCCAGTAGTAGTAATTTTCTTGCACTTCCAAACTGGATCATGTAAGGATCCACCTAATTGTTGGTTTGCACGCAGCCATATGTCCCTTCTTCACAAAGATTTGTCCCCAGACTGCTGGTTACTGTTTGAAAACTCAGATGATTCCTTTGTCCTAAGTAGAAAGCAGCTTTCTCTTAATTTGAATGTAAAGTAGTTTCCCTAATTGTCAAAAGATCTTTTCTTGAGCATTTGTTGTTTTGTTTGTTCAATCCTATAGTTTACCTCCCCGCTTATACCTTAAAATTGTAATGATTTAGTCTGGATTTAGCCCAACGTATGTCAGCCAGTTAGTGCAGCCTCTCAAATGACTTTCAAGACATGTTATATGGAAAGGACAAGAAAAGAATGCACAATGAAGTATTGAGCAATTAATTATGCCATAATGGAGCGAGGGAGGGGGAAGTGGAGAGCTGGCCCAGTATAAACTCTGTGCCTCCAATGCCAGGATTACACTCGGAGGCATTTGTGCCTCTCTCCATTTTGCGAGGCATGTTGCCAGGCAGAGCAGCAGTTAGTACGCCCATGGTGGGGTTTACTAGCTTCCACACCGTGTTTGGTGGCTTCTTAACTTCAGGATGAGGAATTTAAGTTTTTTACACAGCAGGTAGTGATTGCCGTTTATGGATTTTTTTGTAGCAAAAATCTAGCTTGGGATATGAGTATTCCAAATCAGTGTTGGAATGAGGAAGGCACCACCGATGAAGCGTTGCTTACCAAAATGAAGTAGTAGCAGTAAAATGTCCGTGTTCCAGAACTGATGCTGTTCCTGTTAATGTAGATCAAAGCTAGTCCTGAATGCACAGAGAGCTTGAGAGTTCTTCAGCTTCTCATATTTTTTTGTATGCTTTATTTTAAAGGTGACCTCTGATATGAATATGTATGCAGTGGGTATGAGCCATTCTAACCTCTTATTGAGTTGAAGGGGCTCGCGTCCAAAATAGCACATTTTCTTTCCCTGAGTGAGGAAGAACTGCTTTGTCATTAATTTTTCAGTGACTAGATGCAACTTCAACATGTCACAGGACAAACAAACAAGGAACCACCCTGTGTCACTGAGTAAATGAAGTTAGACTGTGAATCTTTGTGTGCTTTTCAGCAATGGGTACCCATTTCTAAAATACCAGAGAGATCTTCCTCCCCAGTGCTAAAATGTGATCTGTGTTCTCTGTCTTCCAGGGGTCAATACCTATTTAAAAATAAACCCCCTGATGGGACTGCTCCACCCAACTCCTTCTACAGAGCACTTTACCCCAAAATTATACAGGATATAGAGGTAAGGAGTGACTGCCAGGTGTGATGGGCTTTTTTGTTTTGTTTTCCTTTTTTTAACAACCTCTCTCATTTATTCATCATGCTCAAATTCTGTTTCATGGTGATGAAGTATTTCATTAAGTACGATGTGTCGGTGTTCATTGGGAGTTTGAAGATCTGGGCTATGTATAAATTCCCAGGCCATCGTCACTGCGTTAGTCAGAGGGAAAGCTGTGTTGTTCAGGAAGTCTCCACACTTTGCACATCAGATGTCATAGCAGCACAACCATCTTGACTTTCTCTGTTCCGTGGTCCTGTGCCCCATCCATGCACATGAATCTAATAAGGTGATAACAGATGGATCTCAGGAATTGAGTCAGCGAGAAAGTGCAGTCCCTAAAAAGCCCAGGGAAACAGGAGGCAACTGGGCCGTGTTGCCTTGTATTTGGTGGAGAGCCAGTGTCAAGTGCCCTGTTCTGACAGTTGCATAGTGGCAAAAGAGGTGGTCAGGCACTGCCTGGGCAGATTTGCACAAGCCCTTAGAGCTCAGCTGAGACATTCTCTGCAATTGTCTAGTTGCAGAGTCACAGAATTAAAGGTTGAAGTTTGCAAAAAACAACTTCTGGGTCACTGCTCCCTCACTATGCCAGAGCATGCAGGGGAGTTTGGCCACAGTATGTGTTCCAAGCCTTTGCCTGTTTCATTGGTTTCATCACATGCTGCTGCTTCTAGAAAACTGCTGTGTCATTCTATGGATCTGGCTGCAGGAAAAAATGTAAAGTATCTGCTGTCTTCTGGCTCGGAAAGCAAATGGTACCCTGGGCTCCATCAGGAGAGGGGTGGCCAGCAGGGACAGGGAGGTGATTGTTCACCTCTACTCTGCTCTTGTGAGGCCCCATCTGGAGTCCTGTGTCCAGGTCTGGAGCTCCCAGTACAAGAAAGACAGAGAGCTGTTGGAAAGGGTCCAGAGGAGGGCCACGAAGATGATCAGGGGGCTGGAGCACCTCCCCTACAAAGACAGGCTGAGGGAGTTGGGCTTGTTCAGCCTGGAGAAAAGAAGGCTGCGGGGTGACCTCATTGCAGCCTTTCAGTACCTAAAGGGAGCCTACAAACAGGAGGGGAGAGGAATCAACTCTTTGAAAGGGTTGATAACTGCAGAACAAGGGGGAATGGTTTTAAGTTGAGGGAGGGAAGATTTAGGTTGGATGTCAGGGGGAAGTTCTTCACAGAGAGAGTGGTGAGGTGCTGGAACAGGCTGCCCAGAGAGGTTGTGGATGCCCCATCCCTGGAGGTGTTCAAGGGCAGGTTGGATGGGGCCCTGGGCAGCCTGGTCTAGTGTTAAATGGGGAGGTTGGTGGCAGGGGGGTTGGAGATTCATGATCCTTTAGGTTCCTTCCAACCCAGGCCACTCTGTTATTCTGTGAGATTCTCAAGCAAATGAAAGTAAGGAAGAGAGAGTTTTGTCTTTTATTTTTACTTCTCTTTTGTCTCCTGTCTCTCAAGACAATAGAGTCAAACTGGCGGTGTGGGAGGCACAGTTTACAGAGAATCCACTGCCGTAGTGAGACAAGCAAAGGCGTTTATTGTTTACAGTACGATGATCAGAAGATAGTCAGTGGCCTACGAGACAACACTATCAAGGTGAGAACTCTCCAGAATGACATGCCAATGGCACATAATGCTAGTGCCATAAACAGTAGTGTCCTAATTTCAGTGGCACTTCTCCAACCTCTTGTTGCTAAACGAACCTTTTCCTTCACCTCTTACCTAAGGAACATGTATACCTCTTATATTTGTCAAGAGAGACTTTGTTTTCTTTCTGAACAGAATTCGTTAGTTGACTTTTCAGTCAGTAATTACAGATTATATAACTACTCTGCATTAATGAGGAGGTAAGGCCAGTATTCAGAGCAAACCCAGTAATACAAAAGATGTTAGCATGTTACACCAGCCTGCATGTCACCACAGCAATGAGGCCATGCCACTGAGGTAGTTCTGCCTGCAGTGTAGATGATCCCTTGTAGTGAAAAACAGACCAGTTTTTTAAGCAGTAGGTGCTTAAAGTATGATGTAAACCTTCGTTAGCTGTCTGTTTTGTAATGTTTGCTCTCTCCTAGATCTGGGATAAAAATACATTAGAATGCAAGCGAATTCTCACTGGACACACGGGTTCTGTCCTGTGCCTGCAGTATGATGAACGGGTGATTATCACTGGATCTTCAGACTCGACTGTCAGGTGTGTGCTTGTGATTCAGAGCTTTCCATTTGCTTCAGAAAGTTCAGCTTTGTGAGCTGCTGAAGTGATCTTTTCTTAAATCTGTGCTGTTCAATTACCTCCATAATCTAGTTCAGCACATTTGCTCAGGAGTGCACTGTCCTTGTTTATCAGATGTCCACACGAGTGGTTGTCAAGGAGAAATGACAACCTAAGCAAAGGTCAGCCAAGGTCAAGATGACTTAGGAAAACAATTTGGCATTTCACCAAGGTGCTGCTTGTTTGGACACTCCCTGGGAATGCTTTTACATCCTCCATAGGAATAACTGTTTAAAGTTGGTTAAGTACTCAAAGCAAGCTTGAAGGATTAGTCATCTGTTGTCCCTTAATTTTAACAAAGATGTGTGACTAGATCTCCTGTGAGTTTTAATTAAGTTTCAGCATGACGTTTCTTCCTGGTCTTTCTAACTTTGTTTCCTTTCCAGTCTTCATTAAGAGGCTGGACACTTAAGTCAGCACATGCAGTGCACATTTTCACTATGCAGATGTAAAGTCCACTAGACATATTACAGGATCACAGAGAGCCTAAATCCTGCAGTGTAAATACAGGCACATTCGAATTAGTGAGTTGCAATATGAACTTGGACACAGAGGAGCAAGCCTGTCTTCTCCATGCTGTTGCATATCCTCTTTTTGTCAGAGAATCAGTGAGGCCCATGCAGTGAAGTTACAGATGACAAAAAAGCTGTGCCAATGGCCTTTTCTGAAGCTATTACCATGTGTTCCTATGGCTGCAGGCTGCTCATGGTTATCACTGTGCTGCATGCAAACTACCACTGTTAAACGAGTGACCATTTCATTTAGTACTTTACACGTGATGCATGTAGTCTTATGGTGTTGTTAGGTTTTGGGATCCTAATATTTGTAGAAATCCAGAATTTTTGTGTGAGAACTGCTCAGTGCTAAATACAGGTTGCAAAAGGAGATGCTTATTTCTGTAACAAACACTATCATTTTCCATATCAGGCCAGGAAGGCCAAATTGCAGACTGGCTGCTTGCCCAGAAATACTTTGTTTTCCACTGTAGCTATAAACGTTTGTGCAGACCCCCAGGGCACATAGGATGCATCACTTTTATCCTTGGGTCTCCTCAAAAAGAGGGGCTTTGTCCAATAGACAGTACAGATGGGCTCTTAATGCTTCCGAGAGCTCAGGGATGCACTTGTCCAGAGAAGTCAGTAGGTCTCCAGCTCCTGTTCAGTTTGGCAACCTTGTCTGCAAACTGCTTGTATGCTAATGGCTCAGGTCTGCAGTCTGCGGTCTTTTTAACTTTGCATTTTGTAATTGGAAGTGTACTTTCCTTTCTCATTTATAAACCAGAAGTTGACTTGCTTCAGCTTCTATGCATTAGAAAATGAGGCATTAGAATCCTTTCTCACATCTTGCCTTTTCTAACTGCTCACCATATTGGCACAGGAAAGTTTCAGCTTTTACAGTGTGATCTGCCTAATGATGCAGCTATTTTCTGCTCTCACACAGTGTGTGTGGGATACAGGTGTGATAGTGCCAAAAGAAATCTCTTTGTGGAGAATGAAAAAAGCCTGCAAACAGGGCAGCCCAAAACGTTTTTGAGGATTAAAATCTTAATTTCAAGTCCTAGAAGTTCCATATGAAGCCTTTGAGTAGTTTTCATCTTAAGTGATTTTTCGGTACAAACAGTTGGTTCCAATAACATTAAATCAACATGAATGTTCTGTCTTAATTTGGGTATTCAGCACATTCTTAGGATGTAGCTGTGTACCAGATGCATTGCAGAGTAAAAGCAGCCCATTGTGCAACTTGTAGCAATTACATTTGTTTGAAAGGCATAACCTTGTCTTCGCCTCTGTGTAAGTTATCCTATGAGATGATAGTCCTGTGAGAGAAGTAAAAAATGAAACCTATCTCTGAACTTCCTTCTCCACAGGTCACGTTTAAGCAGTCAGTGTCTGGGAATGGAGAATGGTAGGCTGACCTGACCAGGAGACGTCAGTCTCCAGGGCTGTCAATCTCATACCTTTCCTTGAGCACTGAATTCTCTTAATTAAGGAATGCTTTTTTTATTTTTTTTGTTTTTCTGGCTGGGTTGTTTTTATGGTGTTAACTGCATTGCAGGGATTTTGGCTGCTGGACTGTCTCAATATGTGCGTAATCAACAGGTTTATGTAACGTATCTTTTAATGAAATATTTAATAGATTTAGCTATAACCTGTGGCATTTGCATCTCTAATATTGCTAGAGAGTTAATTACCTCTCCCCTTCCCTTTCTCCCTCTGCAGAAAAACTGCTGTACATTCTTTTAACTCTCTCCTCTCTGGTTTGAAATCTGAAACTGCAGGGTGTGGGATGTGAACGCAGGCGAGATGCTGAACACACTGATTCACCACTGTGAAGCAGTACTGCACCTCCGCTTCAATAACGGCATGATGGTGACGTGTTCCAAAGACCGTTCCATTGCTGTGTGGGACATGGCTTCACCAACAGACATCACCCTGAGGAGGGTGCTCGTAGGGCACCGTGCTGCTGTCAACGTAGTGGACTTTGATGACAAGTACATCGTATCAGCGTCAGGTGACAGAACCATAAAGGTGAGGTATTTTTTTGGAGGCTTTTTCATTTGCAGCATTGAGTATTTACTAACAAAAAGCAATGACCAGACAGGGAACAGTCTTTGGCTGTTATTACACTGATCTTCCTTTAGAAGCAGTATTCCTCCTGCTCATTTCCACTCATCCCTCATCTGTTGAGCTTGTGCGTCTTGTTGACAGAGCTGTATGGCAAGTCAGACCCCGGTGCAGATGCAGTTGAAAAAGGACTCCTTTTTCCCTGTGTTCTTTTTCAATTTGACTGGTTCCACAATCTGTTTCAGCATTGGTAATACAAAGAGTTGTCAGAAGGCAACATGGGGGCAAAAGCAAAGGTGACTGAGTAGGAGTCATTTGAGTGTTACTGCTATGATCCGGATCTGCTGCATTAAAACTGAGGAAAATCCAGTTCCTGTGTAGACTAAATCACTCTCAGGCCGAAGACTGTTTTTGGAAACTAATTCTAGTACAGTGTGACAAAAACTTTCTATGTGCTGTGGCCCAAGCTGTGAACACTTTCAGGCGATAGTCACAGGTCATCAAAGGGTAATTTTCCTGTTCTTACAGAAGTGTGTTCAATTAAGAACATTCTAGGTGCACCTCTGTATCATACAGATACCATCTTTTGTTAGTCTCTTCTTAATAATTTTGTCTCTGTGTGGTTTCACCTTTCCTGTCACAGGTATGGAACACTAGTACCTGCGAATTTGTGCGCACCTTAAATGGCCACAAACGAGGCATTGCATGTCTGCAGTACAGAGACAGGCTAGTAGTGAGCGGCTCTTCAGATAATACTATCAGGTGAGAGACACACTCCCCGTTGCAGAGTTCTTTGCAAGCATGTTGTCTCTGAATCCCTGGGATGCATGGAGGTTAGACAAGCAAAGTGCTCTGTACCCTTGTCTTCCTTGAAATATGCTTCCTTTGGTAGAGAACATTGGGAACTACTGGGAAGAGATATTAGAAGTCTGTTTTACTGTGTTGTCTTTCATTCTCTGTATCTCAGGAGTCCTATACTAATCAACAAGTTGCATTGCTCTGACAATTCTGGTGTATGAAAGAGCTGGCAAGTAACACTTTCTGTGATGTCCTCTTGTGATATTTTAATTGGGCTATGTGTCTAGTTAAAGGGGTCAGATTTGCAGTAAGAGGCATTTAATCCTCTGCAGAAATCCTCCTGGGCTCTGGCCAAGCTCTTCTTGTGGTACTTGGCACCGGGTTAAGTTTGGAACAGCTGGTTTAGAGCATGAAGTTCAGTTTGCTGCCTTTTGCACTTCTCCAGCTGCCCTTGCTGCAATCTGAGATTTAACTCCTTCTGGTATCATGAGCCAGAATTTCTGCCTTCATCCAGCAGCTGCTGGCAGAGGGGTGTCCCACTAATCTCTGGGTGTACTGAGCAAGCTGGAATAGGAGTATAAGTTGTGTGGGGAAGCGGCTGTTGTTCAAGCAGGAGGAAGAGGAGCCTCCATTTTGTATTGATCACTGCTTTGAAGAATTGTGTTCCTTCTGATAAAACTGGAAGTCTGGACAGCCTAAGCAGAAAGTCTTCACTTTTGATGTCGGAGTTTATTTTCCTTAGTGAGAATGATTCATGCAGATGTTTGTGGACTTTGCTTGCAAAACGGTGCCTCTCTGTGCTTTGTGTTCTGGAAAATCGTGGTCCTTTGATGGCCATCACTGGATTGTTGCACTAGGTTTTAGTGTGTGATTGCCTGAGAGCATGAGCTAAAGAGCTGGGGCTTCTGTCCTTTTATCAAGGCAATAAGTATTAATAGACATTGTGTAAGAGTAGCACCATATATGTAGTAAAAACTCCAGATGGAAAAAATAACCCACTGCTTCTGTACTGTGAAACTTGGTCTCAGAGTAAGAAATAGTTAAATGCTACACCATTTAGGGAAGGATCTAAAATATGAGTAATACTAATAAAAATAAATGTCAGTGTAGTGATAATGCTAAAGAGGAGTGTGATTACTTTTATGCTTACATTGGACAAAATCCCTAACTGACAGATAAACTGTGCTAGAATTTCAAGAATGTTGGCAGTGAATCTTAATGGAAGTCAGATTTGGCAGCTGTGTGTGGGCAAGGCACAAGGTTTACCTGTTCACGTAGCTTTCTCCCAGCCATTAGCAGAAGGCACATGTCAGTGGAAGAGTGATTAAGCAAGGGCAGGTTACTAAGTCCTCTCTGTGGGTGGCTTGGTGTTTTGCATGTTTGATTTTAATCCATTGTAAAATACCAGATGTTGTGCTGGCCTTTAGTAGGGATTGCCTTCTGGTATTGAATTTGAAGTTGGCCATTCCTCGGTTACGGGGAAACTTTTTTTGCAAAAGGAGCTGACTCTGTGTGATTACTCATTCTTCAACCATGAATCTAAGGAAGTAGCTGAGAAGTCAGTATCCTTCTTCTGTAGAGAGACTCCATGCATAAAAATGACTTAGGTTTTTGGTTTAGGAGAGAGTTCTCGCAAGTGCGAAAGAATGCAGCTACATAGGCATCACTGTTATTGTGCTGATTTTTACCAGTAAGAAAGTGGCCCATCTTTTTAATATATATATTTTTTTAATCCAGTCAATTAAGTATCTTAGCCACTAGTGCCAAGGCAAAAAAAATAAGCTGTATCATTCTGTGTTCACTTTTAAATGAAGGGCTGGCATGGGTGCATGTATGTGCATGTATTCAACCACCAGTGTCTGCACACGAGGATCTGCTGCTGGACTCTTGAAGAAGGGGATTCAGGCTCATCTGCCTCCTGTTCATCTTCCTACTCTGCCAGGAGGTCAAGAGAAGTAAAGGCCGTGGTAATTGGAGGTGTTCTACTATAGAAGTTCTCCCAAAGCTCTGGGAAGGAAGAGTGGCTGTTCCTTTGCCTGTGTTCACTTCATAGCGAAATTTCTAAGTTAGTTCTCAAGCCTAAGAGCAGTCTTGTTTCTGTTTGATCCTTTGGCTATTTAAAGAAGTAGAAATTTGAGGAGATTACCAAATCTGGAAAGTTCCCTTGGAACCAATTCTAGATATGCTGTTCTTACACAGCAGTTACTCTTTTTGTGTGTGGAAGCCCATTGCTCTCAGAGCTAAGGGCTGCGATCATCTTTTCTAATCACAGTCAAATTCAGGTGAAAACTCAAACTAGAACCTGATAATACAAGTCTAAGTTAATGTGATGCAGCCTTGCCAAGCTGCTGGCAACCTCAGGATTGATGGCAAGGGGTGGAAACACATGGCACAAAAGTTCCTGGCACAAGATTGCGCTTCAGACCTTTCTGCACCAATTCACTTCTGGCATTGTGCATCCTGTTTGCAGTCCTTGGCAGGAGACGTAATGCTCTCTGGCCAGCCAGAGTGCCTTTGGCTGAACTTCACCATGGGTTTACTTTCTCTGACCTTAACTGGTGCTGGTGCTAATGCAAAACCATTGGAGTCTTCACAGACTGATGAACACTCAGCTTCATAGACTGAGGAATCATCTGCTCCTCTTTGGCCTCAGATGTGTAACACCTAGGAACGTGGTTTAGTGGCCATGGTGTGTTGGGTTGATGGTTGGACTCAGTGATCATGGTGGGCTTTTCCAACCATTATGATTCTATGATAAACTAACCCTTACCCAGTATACAGTTATAGGAAGAGTTCTGTTCATTCCCCAGTCGTCCATAGCGAGAGCAGCTCGTTGTGGCAGGACAGATGAAATCATTACCCACCATCCTTGTACACACATCCACGGGGTCTGGATTATTCCCTGGGGGACCTCAGGATTGAAATATGTGGGGACGATTTATCTCTCTTAGTTTCTCAAGGAAAAGTGACCTGACCCCACAGCAGCTGTACTTCTTTGTGTGGTGTCATCCAGACAAATTCCGTGAACCATGAACCTCACTACCATGCAGTCCCTGTCAGTCTGAACTCTAATTGAACGAGCATTCACGAACATCTGTGACTGCTTTTTCTCAGCTGTGTGTCAGAGCCTCAGCAGATACTGGCACTGAAAGATTCCGTTTGTTGTGAACCAAGTTGATATCATCTGGAGGTGGAACACCTGTAGGTGATACATGTCAAGAATTTCAGTTCTTGTAGGCAAATGGTTTTTCTTCATCTGTTCTAACTGGCAATCCCCTCAAAGAGCTGACAAAAGTATCAAAAGCACATAGGCTTATTTCTTAAAAAATTGTTTGACCACAAGAAGAAAATGCATTATGAATAAATAAACACAAAATGCCCATTTTAGCTTATGCATAAGTTGTCTTCATTACAGAACAAATACACCTTCAGTGGGAGAAAGTGACAAATATAAAGGGCTTGTTAGTTCCTTCCACTAGTGTATCCACAATTCGTCTGACGTTAGTCTCCAAATCAGAAATAGGCATAGACAGGGACGTGTGCCTTGTTCAGGTGCTTTTACCTGTGGAACAAGGTTCCAGGAGGACTGATGAGTCTCTCTCACTTAACATCTTCAAATCAAAGAAAGACACTTTTGTGAAAAACTGACTTAAAATAAAGTCAGGCTCCTCATGAGGATAACTGGGAGATATCCCGTGTCTTGTGTGAACTGAGAAGTAGATGGCGAGCGTGGCTGATCTTAAAATGTTTGGGTAATCCCCCATATGATACTGCCACATAACAGTCTTGTTGAAAAACATGCATCAATTGAACTGCAGGAAAAGGAGTTTGTTCTTTGTTGCTTCATCATAGACTTTATTTCCTAGTTTTCGTTAACTACAAGCAAAGACCAAACGTTTCTTTGAAATGATCAGAAATTCTCAGTGCTTCTTCCTGATCTCTTCCAGGCTGTGGGATATCGAGTGTGGGGCGTGTTTGCGAGTTCTGGAAGGCCACGAAGAGCTGGTGAGATGCATCCGCTTTGACAACAAGAGGATAGTCAGCGGGGCGTACGATGGGTGAGGCTAGCTAATGTGTTGGATCCTCCTGTCTTTCTCAGTGTCTTTCATACGAATTTGCTGGATCTTCCTCACAGAAATTAAATTTCTTGTCCATCATACCCAGAGGTCCTGGTCAAGGCCAGTGAGTCAGGCTGATTCTACGAAGTACACCCGTTGTTGTATTTTCTGTTTTAAAAAGTCAGTGGGATTTGATGCATGCGGTCCATTTCTTTAGCTCCTAAGAATATCAGATAGATTTGATCCGAGACATCTTCTAGCTCAACCATTGCTAAGAACAGTGTTTGCCTTCTGTGGTTGTCTTCTGATCCATTTGCCACTAGGACTAGTGTGCATTAACCCTCCTGTATGTTTCTGTTAGTTATTATTGCCTGCTTTTTTATATTTTATTTTGTCAACAGCGTATTATTTTCTCCCTTGAAGCTGTATGAGCATTACAGAGGAGAAGAGCAAGAACCACATTTCAGGAGCAGAAAGATTTCTGTAGTTTTCCTTGAGCTGCTGTATCAGCTCGGCTGCGCTAACCGCTTTTTTTTTTTTTCTGTGAGCACTTCATCTTTTCTTTTTAACAGAGCCATGGTGTTTCTCTGTTTTTTCACTACTAGGAAAATTAAGGTATGGGATCTGGTGGCTGCTTTGGACCCCCGTGCTCCAGCAGGGACACTCTGCTTACGAACCCTTGTGGTAAGAGCTTTGGGTAGGGGTGCTGGAGAGGGAGCAGGAAAATGTTCTTGCTCAGGGCTGTCTTGAGCTTCAGAAATTCAAGTTATTTTAGCACCAGCCTGCAGGATCCAGAAGTCATTTCTAGAGATCTGGTTTGTTGTTTGGAAGTTAAAAACTAAGTCATTTTTGAGACTTTGGAATCCATGTGTTAGTGGCTTTACTTTAGTGGGCCTATTCCCATGAGCTGTTGACAGGGAATTTCTTAAAGAAAAGTAAATTTCAAATTTGAGGGAGGAGGGGGGAGAACACAAAAGCAACCTTTGCATTGCATTTCAGTGGCTTGTGTGTGTTTAAGGAGAGAAGGGCTACGGACTGGAACAGACAGTGAGATTGCCTCATCCTTAAACAGCAGCTTCTAATGCTCTCCAGTGATATTTAGTGCAGGTCTGATGATAGTGTGATAAAAATGTCACTGCATGAGTGTTCACAGCATTCACCGTCATGCTTAACAGTGGCTCTGCACTGATCTTAGAATGATGCAGGAAGGTTGTGGTAAAAACACCAGCACAGCCAAGGCCATGGGGTGCTTCCTATTCCTATTCCTATTCCTATTCCTATTCCTATTCCTATTCCTATTCCTATTCCTATTCCTATTCCTATTCCTATTCCTATTCCT